CAAAAAAAAATCAAAGTTTGCTTTGATTACGAAAACGTATGTCGCATTATTGTTTCTTTATTGGTCAGGTTTTTTGACATGATATTTTGACAATAAACAATGGCGATTGCATGGCGAGCAAGAATGTCTAATTCGTTTTATAAATGTATTCCTTAATGCTTTTGTATCCTCACAAACATTTTTTTGTTTTATAATTATTATATATAGCTTTTATTATGACAGAGTTCATGATAATTATATAATAATTTTTTTAAGGTTCCATCTGAGTGCAAAATGCTTTAGACAGCAATAATATCCGAAAGAAAATATTAGTAAATTAATTTTATAAATGTTTCACATAGCGCTAATAAAACAATTTTATAGATGTTCGCAAACGAATGAACTAGTAACAGATAACACCAATATAAATCTAATATAAAACAGATTTGTTCGGTGAGCTAAAATGTCATATAAAATTATTGTGTAAACGTTTATAAAACAATATTAAAATTTGTCATTAAACTGTTTTGTATTTTTGCTCCAAGAACGTTCTTACGACTACCTTATAGAGCAGAATACTTCTTAGAAGCTTAATTATCTCGCTTGCAATTTTAATAAAACAAAATGGCGTTCGACGAGCAGTAATAAACTAATTATAAAATAAAATAGCAGCGGACAGTTAAAAATTATAAAATATAATTGCTAGTTGGGTGGTTTGGTTAAACAGAAAAATTATCTTGATGTTTTCTTCATTTTCTGGAAGAAGATAACAAGGTCTACGTCAAAGAGTATAAAGAGGCTCAACAAGAGTTATTCACGCTAAGAACTAGAAATCTGCCAGTAAATATTAATCTGGAGCTAAGCAGACAGCAAATTGAACAGATTCCTGACCAACAGGTTGATGGAGAACAACAGCTAAATGAGCGAAACACAGCTCATATTAATAACAAATTACCGATGGAAGCAAATAATGAAGTTAAAAAAGAAAATAAAATGCTTATCTTGGGAGACAGCTCTGTCTTTGACCTTTACAAGTTTATTGAGAGACAAAAAACTCTTGATAATTTCAAAACTATCTCATTTGTCAAGCACAACGCATGCTTAGAGAGTATTGCAGAAGATATATTTGGATTAACCAGAGAATTCGACAAAAAGGACTTCGTTATTGTTAGTGCAGGTCTGCAAAATGCAATTAGGTTCGGGGGTAAAGTGGACATATCAGTATTCGATAGATTATCTCAAGTGGGAGCTCGAACAAATATAATAATATTGTCAACGCCCTTGTGGGCAAGCCGTGTTGTTCTCAATAGATTCATTGATCAGATAAATATTAAGCTCTTTGAATTTGTGAAAGATCATGATGATAATTCGAATTTTTTCTTGAATTTGAATTCTTTTGTAAACTCGTCCTTTTTTAACTTTTATCGGAACAATCTAAAAAATATTGCAAAATCGAAGATAGCTGAAAAAATATCAGAACTTATTATTTCGAGTCATTTTTTAATGTCTTAGTCAACGCCCAAACTTTGGAGCCCAGTTCAAATATTGAAAGCAGCGCTAAAAATTCTAATTCACTTCAGCATATCAAATGCAAAGTTTCACTATTTTTATTGAATATTCAATCATCACGAGAGAAATTAGATGAACTAGCTATTTTATTGAATGATTTGAATATGCCTTCTTTTGTTTTGTTGACCGAGCATTGGCTTAAGGAGGGCGAGTTATGTCATGTTTCACAGTACAAGGTAGCGTCTAGATACTGCAGATGTAATGGATACGGAGGAACAATGATATTGGCGAATGACAACTTTTTTAGTGATGTTGAGAGTTTGGACGGCTATAACTTTCTTATTAAACCAAATGAATTTGAATTCTCTGTTGTACAAATTAAGAAATTGAACATTATTTTACTTTGTGTCTATAGACCGCCTTCCGGAAAGCCGTTAGATTTTCTGCAATCGTTGGAGTTACTTTTGTCCAAGTTTCCCATTTCGGCCAAGATCATATTGGCTGGGGATTTGAATATAGATTATAGCGATCAAGAGTCTAAAGACACTAAAGGTTTATTAAATTTATTGACGTGCTATAACCTTAAAGTATTTATCAATGAACCGACACGTATTACGGATCACTCTGAAACGATTATTGACTATTATGTATGTAGTAACATTGAAGAAAGTGATGTTAGGTGTGATGTTATTCCTTCTGACATTTCAGACCACGAAGCGCTTTCGGTGGAAATTTTGGTGTACGGCGATGAGCGCGGGAGGGTAGCAAAAGTAGGTAGAGTGTTTAGCACAAATAATTTTAATGCGTTCAGACAGTTGGCCCATAATATAAATTGGGAAAATATTCGGAGCAGCAGCAATCCTTTCGAAGACTTTCAGAAGTCTGTACAGAGTATTTTCAATCAAAGTTTCCCTCTTAGAAAAATGAAGACCAAGGCTAGAAAGGTATGGATAACACGGGGTTTGAAGGTTTCTGGACGAAATCTTCGATCTCTTCATACTGTTAGGAAATTCATAAATTCGGAGTGGTTCAATAATTATTTCAATCTTTACCGAAAAATTTATAAAAAATTAATTAGGGTAGCAAAAAGGCAATATTACCGTGGGCGCGTTAACGATGCAAATAATGCTGTTAGGGAGTATTGGAGAATAATCAACGAACTTCGTGGAAAAACCAATAAATCTACAAACAAAATACAAATTGAACCAGAGGAACTTAGTAACTTTTACTGTTCCATAGCAGGTAATCTAATGAAAGACTTAAAAATAAATCGTGATCCGGTTACCTTCTTGACGCCATTTTCAGTCAAAGAGTGTTTTCATTTGACACCAACAAATGTGGATGAACTGAAAAACATAATTAACGATATGAAAAAACAGAATTCCTCGGGCGTTGATGGTCTATCTATGAAAATCTTTAAGAATCTCCCTGAAGCAGCACTTAATAGTCTTACTGAGTGTATAAATCAGTCTTTCACAGCGGGAATGTTTCCGGACTGTTTAAAACTTGCCGTGATTATTCCAGTTTTTAAGGGAGGCGACGAAACAGACCCCTCTAACTATCGCCCGATTTCTCTGCTGACAACTCTATCAAAGATAGTCGAGAAGATTGTTAAGATTAGGCTCTTGGAGTATTTGAAGGGAAACAACATATTGCATCCAGAGCAGTTTGGTTTCCAGGAAAAGAAAGGAACGCACGATGCCATTTTTATGTTTCTTGAAAATCTTTTTCTGGGATTAAATGATGGAGAAAGGGCCGCGGCAGTATTCTGTGATTTCTCTAAGGCGTTTGACTGCGTGGATCACGGGATACTGCTGAGGAAGCTTGATCACTATGGTATTAGGGGGAAGAAATTGGATTGGTTCGGGTCGTACCTTGAGGGAAGAAGTCAGTTCGTTAGAGCACAAAACAAAGACTCTGAAAGAAAAAGAATAACTTATGGTGTACCTCAGGGATCTGTACTTGGACCAATACTTTTCTTAGTCTATATAAACGACTTAGCAGACCTGCCCATTGGGGGTCTTTTTGTGATTTTCTGCGACGATACGACCATTCTATGGAAAAACAAAAACGCCGCAGTTCTTGCGGAAATTATGGAAAGGGAATTGCTGTTGGTTAAGGAGTGGTGTGCTTGTAATCGTCTGGTGTTTAATGTGTCGAAAACAAGTATTGTAACATTTAAATGTAGCATTGAAAATATTTCACTAGATGAAAATGTTATCGCAGAGAAAGAAACAGCTAAATTTCTTGGATTGCACATAGATTCGAAGCTGCGATTCGACAAACACATAGATTTATTGAATAAAAAACTTTCACAAGGGTATTATATAGTTGAATCTATAGCACATGAACTGGGTAAGCCTGCCGCGAAAACAACATATCATGCACTGATCGAATCGTATCTTCGCTATGGAATAGCATTCTGGGGGTTTTCCACTCAAAACTCTATCCAATCGGTGTTTGTACTACAAAAAAGAGCAGTAAGATATATTTGCCATACAGGATACGGACAGAGCTGCAGACAACTTTTTAAACGGGAAAGAATTTTGACAGTTCCCTGCATATTCCTTTTGGAAACGGCCTGTCTAATATTTAAAAAAATTAAAAATAATGATACAGTGAGAGACACTGGTTACAACCTACGCAACCAAAATTTTCCATTACCCATTCCGAAATTTGCCTTAACGAAAAATTCTATTATATATGAGAGCATAAAAATCTTCAACAAGCTGCCAGACGAAATAAAGGGTGTGGAGGACTATGGACAATTTAGAAAAACTTTAAAGAGATTTCTGGAAACCAAAGCCTATTACAGTCTTGGGGAATTCTACTCAGACTAATCTTTTAATCTTTTACTGTGATCTTTAAACTGTGATTCTTAAACTGTGATATTTTCAATTTTTCAATTACTAAATTATTTATTTTTAATAGGCTTTAACTGATTCATGTAGTGTTTGACTTTATTTATAGTGATGATTGTTTTTTAGAAATTTTGCTACCATCCCGCGCTAACTCGTCGGTTCTGTGTTGGATTTGCTTAGGTATCTGGACGCTATCAAATCTAGCCCATGATAATGTTCTTTTATTTATGTATTGTAAACTGTTCAGGTGTTGTTGATTGTATATAGAATTCTCACTGTTATTTTATTGCTTGTCTTTCTAGTTTTTTGTCTTATTTTTACTCTCAACACTGACATCAAAATTTTAACTTAGTATACATTTTTAGGATATAGGAAATTAATTTTAGACTTTTTTTTTTTTTTGCTTTGTCAATGGAATTTGCATAATTTTTTGGACAATAAAGCTTTTTTGATTTGATTTGATTTTTCAAATTCTCATCTTGAAATATCCATTGCATGCGCTGCAGTTTCTAATAAACTATAGTTCCAAAAAAGGTTAATTTCAAAAAGTAAAAATTGTATTGCTGTGGATGGCATGCATAATTTGGAAGTTAATTTTCGCCTTTGTTTTTTTTTTTTTCAAACTGAGCACTTAATTTAAACTGTCAGATAAAAAATTCTAAATTAATTTTATTTTATTTACATACATAGGTATAATAAAAACATATTTACTTGTGATACATTTAAGAACAAAATTTGACATATCAGTAGTAAAATAAATAGGTACGATTATCGATATTGAATTTAATTTTAACAATTTTTTAGCATAGCAATCAATTGAAATGACAAAATATATCAAAACAAACAAACAATTATACAGAATTATAAAAACAAAAAATCTATTTGCCTCACTTCTCATGGAATGAATCGTTTTAAAAATATTAATACAATAACACAAACATATGAAAGTGTGGAAGTAGGATTCTGTCAGCAAAACTGCAAAAACAAAGTCTAATCTGACCCAATTATATTGTGCCACTAATAATTATTTTAGAATGTAAAACTACCATAAGATCAGTACAAAAATTATCTTCTGTAAATAAAGTTCTAATCTAGATATATAGTGACAAGGCTTGCACTTTATTGTTAAGACTAGAAAAAAATAAATAAAAAAATCCTCAATTTTAAAAATGTTATTTCCGATTTTTCAGAGCGTTTGCAAGCCATTCCATGGCCATGTCCAGGCCTTCTCCTTTTGTAGCTGACGTTTTAAATATTTGAAAAGTTCGATTTTTTAGAGCTTCCAAGCCTAAAGCTTGATGAACGTCTTTGAGAGACATACAACCAGGAATATCTTGTTTGTTTGCTAGAACCACTAAGATGGCATCTTGTAATTCTTCTTCCTAAAAAACAAGTGTATTTATTCTTTACCTAAATTAAAAATGAATCCCTAAACAAGTTAGATAAGAATTGATTGTAATAACCAAAAATGTGTACAAAAGCTTATTTGATAAAAAAATTAGATTGACTTTGTTTGAACAGTAAACTTTTTTTTTCAATTCAACCAAAGTTATCTAATAACAATATAATTATCATATCATAATTTTTCTGTGCTCTTACCCTAAGCATATGAAAGAGTTCATCTTTGGAAATTCCCATCCTTTCCTTGTCAGCGGAATCCACTACATAGATTATGGCATCTGTATTGCTATAATAACACCTCCAATATGGCCTAAAAAATAGATTTTGTATAACATGGAGATTATTTAATAAAGTAAATAGTAGTGATGGAACCAGGATTAAAATTCGGAAGGTATAATACGTTTTGTATAGGTATTATTATACAGGGTGGAATTTTTAAATGGAATACATTCAGTATCAGAAAGCCTGCTTATTTTCTGGGGAAAAAAAAAACGGATCCCTTTATTTTTAGTTTGGCACATTTTTTCGGACTTTTCATGGAATTTACCCCTTTCTTAAGGATGTTGACAACGGCAGACAATGACTATGTTGATTTCTGTGACTAAGAGTCCTAACCTTGAAATCAATATTTTATTTTATTATTATTAGGAACTGTCTAGAGTCCCGAACGCGGGATCGCTAGAAAAACAGAAAATCCCGAAAAGGCGTGGCTTAATAGCTGCGTTCGGGACTTTTCAAAAATAATTCTAATCCCGACTTCGGAACCATGGTAACAAAAGTTAATTCCCGAAGTTGTAATAATTGTTTATGTATTATTTGTTTTTCCTATACTCCTAGGTTAGATTACCCAACTGCTGAAATGTTGTGTTTTAGGCAGTTTTGGCTGAAAATTCGTATCCTTTATTATGGGGTTAAACACAAATGACACATTTGGTTCATAGTTCATATAAAGAATTACAAGATGCGATTGATATTGCTACAATATCGTCCGCCAGGCTGTCAAGAATCGATGGTGCAATTACTAGAATCTAGCGAATTATTCTACTTTAATCTGGAAAATTAGATTATCGTGTGTATTCTAGATTTTACAGGAATAGATTTAGGGATATATAAGAAGGCCGGCATTGATTTGTAAGTTAAGTTTCAGTTCGAGTGTGATACGATTTAAATAGTGATTGTAAAGAGTTAAATTGTTGAGTTTGTTAATAAAGTAATTAGTGTCAGAGTGTTTTGTTAAGTGGAATAAATTATTGCTGTGTTAATTGGACTTTGATTTTTGGAATAAGCGAAACGAACAACGAACCCAAGATTTTTGTCAGCAGGCAACCCAAAGCCGCGACATTGGTGCCAAGAAGTGGGATATAAAGGACTGCAGAGTGAAATCCAATTACGGAAGTGTGGGGACACTAGTGTAGTATAAAAACTGAACACTAAGTGAACACTGGGACAGTTAGTGCAGTGCAAATAGTGACAATCACAAAAAGAGACTCAACCGATCGTGTGAATTACCCCGGAAGTGATTCTATACCCGATTTAGACTTTGATAGTGAATCTTCGAGTGAGTTCTAGAAAATTCTATTTGGAAACTAAGGGAGATATCGAATTTGTGACTTCGCCGACGTATTCGGAACATCAATCGTCATTCAGAAGAGGTTTTTCGAGGAGTTTCGAGAAAATTCTAGAACATTCTATTTGGAAACCAAGGGAGATATCGAAATTGTGACTTCACCGACGTGTTTGCTGTATCAATCGACATCTAGAAAAGAAGTTTCAAGAAAATTCCAGAACATTCTATTCTAGAATAAAGCAAGTTATCCAATTTGTAACTTCACCGGCGTTTTTGGAACTTCGAGCAAAGACCAGAAAAGATATTTGAAGAAAGTTCGAGGGAAATTCTAGAGCGTTCTGTATATGCCTATCACAAGACAACAAGCAAAAATGGACGAACAAAAAGTTGAAGAACTTCTGCGCAAAATGTTGGAACTTCAAGAGACCAGACGACAACAAGAAAAACAAGACGAAGAAGCTAGAAGACAACAAGAAAAACAGGACGAAGAAACCAGACGACTACAAGAAAAACAAGACGAAGAAGCCAGACGACAAAAAGAAAAACAAGAAGAAGAAGCTAGACGACAACAAGAAGAAGCTAGGCGACAATAAGAAGAAGCTAGGCGACAATAAGAACGGCAAGAAAACCTTGGAAAACTGCAGAAGATATTCCAAACCATACAAGGAACTGTCGCTAACCTAGACCAGAAGATTGAAAAAGTTAAAGACGATGTGCAAGAAGTTAAACACGACGTCCAGGAAGTAAAAACTGAAGTCAAAATCGATGTTCAAGGAGTAAAAGCTGAGGTCAAAGCCGATGTTCAAGAAGTTAAAGACGATGTTCAGCAATTAAGACAAGAAGTTGAGGACCAAGTTCAAGCACTCAAGGATAAGATGCGTAGATTAGAAATACAGTCCATAAATCCAGCTAGTGTTGGAGCATTCTCCAGTATGAAGATAAAACCACCAACTTTCGACGGTTCTACGTCCTGGACCATGTATATTCGACAATTTGAAGCTGCTGCAAATACCAACGGATGGAACGACCAAGAAAAAGCTACAACACTAATAGTGGCGCTACGAGGACCTGCCTTAGACCTTCTTCAGTCCATTCCTCCAGTCTACCAACAGAATTACCAGCATCTTAGTCAAACTTTAGAACTGCGCTTCGGAGACCATTACAGACAAGAAGTATTCAGAACTCAAGTTAAATCAAGAGTTCAAAAACCCGGCGAGAGTCTACAAGAATTCGAATCGGAAGTTAAAAGGCTAGTGAGTTTGGCGTTTCCTGCAGCTGGGGAAGACATACAGGAATGGATGGCAGTATCTGCGTTTATTGATGATCTCAGAGATTCGAAGATCCAGGAAAACCTAAGAATGTCCAAGTTCAGACAAAGTAGCGAAGCCCTTGTCCGAGCATTAGAACTGGAAGCAATATTTGGTGCCTCACGACCCAGAATACGAGCAGTGTCCATTGAGGACCCAAAGGAAAAACAATCATCAAAAGAGGATGGCAGTTTCGAGAACCTTATGAGTAATTTCATGGAGGAAATAAAGAAAATATTACGAGAAGACAGAAAAACGGGAAACGACTCCAGGCAAACACCAACACAAAGAAACCGATTAGAATGTTATCGCTGCCATAAGGTTGGACACATTCAACGAGATTGTAGAGTAAGAATGCCCTCTCCATCAAGGGATCGTTTCCAAAGCTTTTCGAGATCGAGAGACGCCAGCCCTAATAACAGACAGGGAAACGAGAACTAACCAGTATGGAGGGGCGAATGCTGGTTAGTAATGACGAAGCCCCCAGGGTTGTTTACATAAAATCATTGGGCAGTCATTATAGAGGATTGAAATTCGAAGGACAAATCAATGGAGAATTGAAAACCATCACTTTTGATACGGGTGCTGAAGTTTCCATAATTAAAAGAACATTAGTCAAGTCTCGGGCAATGCAACCGCTCACTAGAAACCTGTCACTACGAACAGTCATCGGCGAATTTGCACCAGTTCTAAGAGAAGCTATGGTTGAGCTTACTTTTGGATCTACCACCTTCAGGCACAGAACATTAGTCGCCGATATAGAAGATGATTTTATTTTGGGAATGGATTTGATCGGCCAACATGGTTTCTCCTTTGATCCTTCCATGAACATCCTTAAATTTGGTAATGAAGAAATTGTCCTAACAACACAAGAAGAATCCGATGCCGTTAAGATCCTGGCCACAACCCCAGTGAGGATTCCTGGAAGTACTGAGAAGATCATTTGCGGAAGATTAGAAACAAACCCTGGGTGCTGCGTTGGGCTAACACGTAATTTCATTGGAGATAAACCAGAAAGATTTCTTGTTGGAAAGACTTTAGTAAGAACAAATGGAGACATTATGATAAGAATTGCCAATGTTTCTTCCGAAACAGTAAGAATAAAAGAAGGAGACATTATTGGAGCTCTCGAACCAGTGAAGCAAATATCGAACTGTGAACTTCCAGATAAGCGACATTTTGTGAAATCCAAATTGGATACAGACACCTTGATGCAGACTTTGGCGAAATCATGGAAACATCTCGGTCCAGATAGACTTCAAGAAGCCACAGATTTCATTTTGAAAGAAGCAGACGTATTTGTGATGGACAATCAAATCGGACGAACCAGCTTAATTCAACACAAAATTGATACTGGATTGGCACACCCAATTAGACAACCACCACGACGTATGCCAGTAGCTAAGCAACAGGAAGTGGAAAACAAAATTGATAAAATGCTTCAAGAGGGAGTCATTGAAGAGTCAAATAGTCCATGGTCCGCGCCAGTAGTACTGGTTACGAAGAAAGATGGGAGTCTTAGATTTTGTGTGGACTACCGAAAGCTTAATGACGTCACCAAGAAGGACAGCTTCCCTCTCCCAAGAATAGACGATACACTAACAACTCTATCGGGCTCTAAATGGTTTTCCACCTTGGACCTCAAAAGTGGATACTGGCAAGTGGCAATACATGACGATGACAAAGAGAAAACTGCCTTCAGTACCGGAAGCGGACTATACCAGTTTAATGTAATGCCTTTCGGATTGTGTAATGCTCCAGCTACGTTTGAGCGACTGATGCATCTTGTTTTGCGAGGCCTTACATGGAGAACTTGCCTGGTATATTTGGATGATGTCATGATTATGGGAAATTTGTTCCAAGAACATCTCAATATCCTAAAAGAAGTTTTTCACCGCTTCCGGAATGCCAACTTGAAACTCAATCCAAATAAGTGTTTCCTATTTCAAAAGAAAGTGGAATTCTTAGGTCACGTGGTATCTGAAAAGGGCATACAAGTTATGGAAGGAAAAATAGATGCGATCAGGGACTGGCCAAAACCACGCGACAAACATGAACTAAGGAGTTTTCTAGGATTATGTTCTTATTATCGAAGATTTGTGGAAGGATTCGCCAATATAGCTGCTCCACTTCATCGATTGACAGAAGAAAAATCAAAATTCAATTGGATCCAAGAATGCGATTTCGCATTTAGAAAATTGAAAGGAGCATTATGTACGAGCCCAGTGTTGTCCTATCCTGATCACAAAGGCATGTTGATTTTGGACACAGATGCAAGTAACACCAGTGTTGGAGCTGTCCTTTCACAAATCCAAAATTCACAAGAACACGTCGTGGAGTACTACAGCAGAACATTATCAAAGCCGGAACGAAATTATTGTGTCACCAGAAGAGAGTTGCTTGCCATAGTAAAAGCAGTCGACCATTTTCATAAGT